ATATTTATATATATGTATTTATGTATTTAATTATACATACAGGAATATGAATGTATATACTCTCATCAGTATACAGACGAGAGGCACGGTTTCTTGTTCGTATGTTCATAGGCTCTTATGAAAGTATCATATGGCTTGAATTTTAGGCTGTGACTTTACTTGCTGAAAATGAAATATCTACATACGTGTACGTTTCTTTTATAGCTGGACCCTAACCGACTGATGCGATAGAGGTAGATTGGACAAATATAAAAATACAGTGCAGTACTCTCTCTCTCTCACGCTCCGTTAGTTCATTTTTTTGCTGTCAGATCGTCTGAAGAGCTACTACGGATATTTACACCAGTGTTCCTTTGTATATCAATATGAATGCAGTTTTAGTCGAACTCGATAGTGTGTGCCGCTGCCAATCGCAACTCATGAGTACCAATGATACCTCCTTTACTTATTTGTCGCAGGTGCTTGATACTACCTACCCGTATGAGACAAATGCCGAAGACCACGGCGAGACTTCAGCCAGAGCCTACGAAGACATTGCGCCTATTCTGTCACTGCTGTGCAAACGGTTAGGCAAGAAACGACACGAACTCAAGATTTACGATCCGTACTACTGTCAGGTATATATAAGCGTCCGCGATATCTTGCATGCATACTGTGTATATTCATTCATTTATCAGTACATGTGTTGGGTAGTATTTGAATGCGGACATAAGTCATCTTGGTCACTTGAATTAGGTTGATTGGAACACAGAGTCGCGGTATCTCAGCTGTGTTGTCATCAGCTATCCCCTTATGAGACTACACGAGTCGCTTACAAAATAATTTTAATGTTGGTTTGTGTTATGTGATTGTATTGACGCTATCCAAAGGTCCTTTAATGTTTGTATATCATCCAGTAACAAACGTTTATGAGCATTTCAGCTTAACGCGGAGGACCTTCTGCGCGTATGGATTGGTTGACTTTAGAATTTCATAGCGTTGATAGCAGACCGCAACTTCAAAATAGAACTGCTATTGTTATCTACTTCTCGGCCGGAAAGTTATAACCACAAGTGACAGTATGTGCAAATTATCTTAACCACATATAGAGATGAACTAGCAGTTTTTTTGTTCTGGGTCTATCGTGGCTTATTCACATCTCCTCATCTTCGTTCCTGCATCATATAGGGAGCGGTGATTAAACTGCTTGCTGAGCACGGATACACAAACGTGTACAATCGCAGAGAGGACTTCTACCAGAGAATGGCCGATAGAGAGATACCCGAGCACGATGTGGTCGTCACTCGACCGCCGTATTCGGAAGATCACATACCTAGGTAATTCAGCTTGGATTCAGCTTGCATACCGATATTAATACTATGCTAAGGAATGCCAAAGAGAAGATTTTGTGTTTGTGTACTTAATATATTGCGAGTTTTGTCAGCACCTTGCCAACATGACTAAATAGGAGAACTAGGTTGGGTTTCAAGTCTTTCGTGCTCCTGGATGTTGTGGTATTACTATCGTACGATACCATGTATTTTTATGGTTGCGTTGAAATTTTTATTTTCAACCATATATATATATATATGTATAGATATATATATATATATATATGTATAAATAGATA